CAGCGGTTGATGGAGTTGGTGATGCGGGGCTTGCAGTGGGAACAGTGCCTGATTTACTTGGACGATGTGATAGTGTTCAGTAGATCTTTGTCTGAGCATTGGTCCAGGCTTCGAGAGGTGTTCCAGCGACTGCGAGCGGCTCATCTCAAGCTCAAGCCACGTAAGTGTTACATCGCACAACGCGAGGTGGGGTACCTCGGGCATCGCGTCAGCGAGGCAGGCGTGCACACCGATCCGGAGAAGGTACGCGCCGTAGTGGAGTGGCCACGGCCAAGGAATCTGACGGAGATCAGATCATTTTTGGGGCTCGCCACCTATTATCGTCGATTTGTAAAGGGATTCAGCGAGATTGCACGCCCCCTCACCCAACTCACCTCCCCTAAGCACCCCTATCAGTGGACGGGGGCCTGCCAGACGGCCTTCACCACTCTCAAAGACCACCTCACCCACGCCCCCACCCTCGCTTTCCCCGATTTTACCACCGATTTTATTTTGGACACCGACGCCTGCAGCAGCGGGCTGGGCGCGGTGTTGTCACAGGTACAGGATGGGATGGAACGAGTCATCGCGTACGCCAGCCGGACCTTGAGTGGGGCCGAGCTGAACTATTGCGTGACTCGCCAAGAGTTGTACGCCGTGATTTTCGCATGCAAATAGTTCCGGCCGTATTTGTACGGCAGGAGATGTCGCGTACGCACTGACCATTATGCTCTGCAGTTTCTTCTTACATTCAAGGAGCCGCGGGGGCAGATGGCCCGGTGGTTGGCGCAGTTGCAGGAGTACAACCTGCAAATCGAGTATCGGGCTGGCCGGACGCATGCAAACGCGGACGCCTTGTCGAGGCGACCCACGGTGTACGCCGAGACGAGGGCGGAGGAGGCCTGCCCGTGTTTCACGGGGGGACGCTGCCGGCAGGCAACGGACCCCCGAGAGGCCGCGGCCACTGACCCCCCCCCAGCGAGAGAGAGTGCAGTGTGCGCCACAGAGACCCTCACAGGTGGCACTGAGGATCCCGTCGACCGCCCGGCAAGCGCGGGACCCGCGGCTTGGGACCCGATCGGACGGATCCAGGAGGACGTCGGCTGCGCCTTCCCGGGCCTAAACGACGAGCAGCTGAGACAGACCCAGCAGCGAGATCCGGATCTGGCGGCGGTGGAGGCGGCACTGCGAGAGAAGAAGGATGCACTACCAGGACCCTGGAGCGGTTTGTATGCCCGGTTGTGTGTAGAAAACGGGGTGGTGAGGAAACTGGCCGACGCTGGGCAGCCGGGGTGCATCTGCGTTCCCGCCCATGTGCGACCCCAACTACTACGACTGGTACACGACCACCCGCTCGGGGGCCATGATGGGGAACGGCGCACCCGGGAGACTCTGCGTCGCCAGTATCTCTGGCCTAAATTGGCGCAAGATGTGGCCGCCTGGGTGCAGGGCTGCCGGGCCTGTCAGCAGTGTGGGCAAAAGCCGGCGAGGTACCAGGTACCCCTGAGGCCCTTCCGAGTCAGTCGGACGAATCAGTTGGTCGGAATCGACCTGCAGGGGCCCTTTCCACGATCCCACCGGGGCAACCGATATATTCTCGTAGCGGTGGAATACTTCACCCGCTACCCCGTGGCGGTGGCTATCCCGGATAAAACAGCCCTCGTAGTGGCCCGGGCCTTCGTGGAAAACTACGTACTTAAGTGCGGGATCCCCGAACGAGTCATTACCGACCAGGGTAGTGAATTCGAGGCCGAACTATTTCAGGCGCTGTGCCGAGAGTTCGGGATCCAGAAGGACCGAACCACGGCGTATCACCCCCAGGCGAACGGGATGGTAGAGAGGATGAACCAGACTCTGGCCGGGAAGCTTAAACGCATGGCGGCCGCGACTCAACAGGACTGGGACGAACACCTTCCCTATGCCCTGTTCGGCTACACCACCGCCGTTCACACCACTACAGGACAGACCCCGTTCCTAATGATGTTTGGTCGCGAGTCTCGCCTGCCCGCAGATCTGCTGTTCGGTGTCCCTCTGCCGCAACGGGAGGAAGGGAGCCACCCCGTGGAGCACTTGCTGGAGACCCTGCGAGGGGCCAGGGGCCGAGCCTACCCGCACGGAGAGGCCGCGCACCAGCGGCAAGAGCAGGGCGCCCGACCCCGTATGGAGCCCCCCTTCTACACTGCGGGCTCCGAGGTGTGGCTGTACACTCCCCGCGTCGGTGCCGGACAGGTGGGGAAGCTGACCACCTACTGGCGAGGACCCTGGATTGTGAGACGGCAGATCTCACCATGGACGGTGCTGATTCAGGGAGGAGAGAGGGGCCGGGAGATGGTGGTCAACATCCGCCGACTGAAGCCGTGGCGAGCAGCCCCCGAGGGGGGGAGCCCCGCCGTCCAAGTACCCCGAAACCCCGGGGTCCCCCCACCCCCCGTGCCCAGGGGCCTCTCGCAGTACATGGGCCCCACGGAGCCCCGGGCTCCGAGGGGCCCCGGGCGGGGCCGGGGGCGACGAGGACGGCGACCCTTAAACCCCACCGCCTCTGAGTTTGTTCCCCAGCCCGCAGGTGCCAGAGGCCGAGGGGAGCCGTTGGAATGGAGGAGGAGACCACCGCCGGAGCCCCAGGAGACGGAGCCGCCACCCCCGAGGCCAGCCACAAGGGCCGGGCGAATCCCGCGGACCCCGCGGCGATACCTCGTGGGGGCAACCCAGGCGAGGTGCTCCAGTCAACCCGGGACGGGGACTGGCACCCCGGGGGGCTATGTGGTGCCACAACGACGGGGCCGCTCTGCCGAGCCAGGGAGCCGCCCGGCTTCCCCCACCGCACTGCCCCCCATCACCCCCCCCCCCCACATAAGCACACACCCGCACGCATTCCCCCCCCCCCCATAGAGCTGGAAGGGAAGGTTACCTGATCGACCGGTTTTTATCCGAGAGACCCTTATCGGGATTAATTCTCACGGTTTCCGGCGATCAGGGAATTGGATGACCTCCCCCGTGCTACGTGGCACCGCGGCGCTGCGGCCGGCCTTAATGTGGTGTGGTCGCGGCGTGGGGCATTCGGCCACCGCGGTTGAGGCGCATTTCCCCCCACACACACTCCCACGGGTCGACGGGGCAAGCAGGGGAGGCACGGGACAGCATGAATAGCGGGGTCACAGGGGCTGTTGCGCATAGTCATGGAGGGTTGGGATAATTGCGCTTGAGCGCGCAGGCCCCCTTGTTAGGAAGGGTAAGGGAGTAATTAGGATGTACGCCGCCAACGTCGCTCACTGATTAGCATATCAACAGCGCCCGGGAACCGCCGTGCGCGGGCTTGGGGTGCACGAGCCCATTGTTCAGCGCAGCATCCCCTTTGAGGTAGGGAGGATAAATAGAGGAGCGCAGAGGGGAAATCGCTCTCTTACTCCAGCGCCAGGCGACCAGACGCAGCTCGAGCCAGCGACCCGGACGTCCGTGCGACGCACCGAGGCACGCGGTTAGCACCAGGATCAGCGGACCGCCGTGGACACTTAACAGTGAGTAAGAAGGTGCATTAGAATCATAGCCGATAAATAGGGAATAGGTGCCGGTTTAGTGGAATAGGCCAGCCTCGTCGACTCACTGATTGAACATTAGTTACCAGGTAATATATCATTAATAGCGAAGCGTGGTCTCGCGTGATCTTGTCGTGCAGTGTGAGCGTGTGGGAACGCGTGTGGTACTGTGTGTGCGTAAGCTCGCGGCGTGCGTAATAGGCGTACCCCAGGTGCGCGATCATAACGTAAGCGGCCAGCAGACGGCGAGCGCTGCGCAGAGCGGCGCAAGAGTGGGTGTCGCGTGTGTTCACTCCGTGTGTGATACAGGTGCGCGATCATAACTTGCGTAGTTGGTGTGGAGTTGGAGTGTACGGAGCGGCGTGTGTGTGTGTGCATACGTTCGTTACATGTCGGATACGGATGCGCATTGGTAACGTGCCGCACAGGGCTATACTGCGAGTACGGCGTTTGATTGACGATGATGTGCGCACGTATGCTCGCAGCGTGGGAGCGCGGCGCGAGGCTGTAATAGTAGGGGTATCGCGTTCGAATGCCGGCGAAACCGTAGCGGGTAATAGGGAGGTGGGGTGACGTAAACGAATAGGGGGATGCAGGCGGGAGGGACCCCGGGGGCCAACGGCCCCCACACAATCTTTATTTGAAGCTTTGGTGACTGCAGGAATCCATACTCTTTGGTTCTTTCGGTAAAGTCATGTAGATAGAAAATTATCAATAGATCACGACGTCTTGATCGCAACACCAGCGACCGTCTTCAGGTATGAGAGAAAAAGCTACTGAAACAATGTCTTATATAGGCCTGATATGGTGCAGCCTTAGGGTAAGAGGGCGGGGCTAGAGATAGTCTGCCTGAGGCTGTGTTGTATTGTGAGCAATGGAAATATTTTTGGTAACCCCTGCTTTGTATGGCAAGGTGATGGTTTTGATTTGGTCCTCAGATGGTTGTCTCCCCATGGCTGGGGAGACAGCTTTACGGATTGTACGGTCAGAATATCCATTTATCCTGAGGGCTTGGTGTACGTGCTCCAGCTCACTGGCTAGGTGGTGCTGGTCGGAGATGCAATGGGCCCTATGGTGTAGTGTTTTGATGAAGGAATTCTTCTGGGCTGGATGGTGGTGGGAATCAGGCTTTAGATAGGCATCCGTGTGGGTGGCTTTCCTGTAGACAGAATGTTTCAACGAACCATCAGGTCTCTTCTCGATGAAAACATCCAGGAATGGTAACTTGCAATCCCTTTGACGGAGCGGTGTACCTTCCTTGTGAATTTTTGGAAGGCCATAAAATCTGGGTGGTCTAGCAGCAGAAGGTTTTAGAGAGAGCAGCTTGCTTGGTTCGATTAGAGAAGTCGAGTTAGTCATGACATTGTTGGTTTTCGTAACAAAGCAGTTGGTAGGATCTCTATTGATTTTGGTATACAGTGAGGGAAAAAAGTATTTTATTTCCTGCTGATTTTGTACGTTTGCTCACTGACAAAGAAATTATCAGTCTATCATTTTAATGGTAGGTTTATTTGAACAGTAAGAGACAGAATAACAACAACAAAATCCAGAAAAACGCATGTTAAAAATGTTATAAATTGATTTGCATTTTAATGGGGGAAATAAGTAGTTGACCCCTCTGCAAAACATAACTTAGTACTTGGTGGCAAACCCCTTGTTGGCAATCGCAGAGGTCAGACGTTTATTGTCGTTGGCCACCAGGTTTGCACACATCTCAGGAGGGATTTTGTCCCACTACTCTTTGCAGATCTTCTCCAAGTCATTAAGGTTTCGAGGCTGACGTTTGGCAACTCGAACCTTCAGCTCCCTCCACAGATTTTCTATGGAATTAAGGTCGGGAGACTGGCTAAGCCACTCCAGGACCTTAATGTGCTTCTTCTTGAGCCACTCCTTTTGTTGCCTTGGCCGTGTGTTTTGGGTCATTGTCATGCTGGAATACCCATCCACGACCCATTTTCAATGCCCTGGCTGAGGGAAGGAGGTTCTCACCCAAGATTTGAGGGTACATCGCCCCGTTCATCGTCCCTTTGATGCGGTGAAGTTGTCCTGTCACCTTAGCAGAAAAACACCCCCAAAGCATGTTTCCACCTCCATGTTTGATGGTGGAGATGGTGTTCTTGGGGTCATAGGCAGCATTCCTCCTCCTCCAAACACGCGAGTTGAGTTGATGCCAAAGAGCTCTATTTTGGTCTCATCTGACCACAACACTTTCACCCAGTTGTCCTCTGAATCATTCAGATGTTCATTGGCAAACTTCAGACGGGCATGTATATGTGCCTTCTTGAGCAGGGGGACCTTGCGGGCACTGCAGGATTTCAGTCCTTCATTGCGTAGTGTGTTACCAACTGTTTTCTTGGTGACTATGGTCCCAGCTGCCTTGAGATTATTGACAAGATCCTCCCGTGTAGTTCTGGGCTGATTTCTAACCGTTCTCATGATCATTGCAACTCCACGAGGTGAGATCTTGCATGGAGCCCCAGGCCAAGGGAGATTGACAGTTTTTTTGTGTTTCTTCCATTTGCGAATAATCGCACCAACTATTGTCACCTTCTCACCAAGCTGCTTGGCGATGGTCTTGTAGCCCATTCCAGCCTTGTGTAGATCTACAATCTTGTCCCTGACATCCTTGGAGAGCTCTTTGGTCTTGGCCATGGTGGAGAGTTTGGAATCTGATTGATTGCTTCTGTAAACAGGTGTCTTTTATACAGGTAACAAGCTGAGATTAGAAGCATTCCCTGAGTGCGCTCCTAATCTCAGCCCGTTACCTGTATAAAAGACACCTGGGAGCCAGAAATCTTTCTGATTGAGAGGGGGTCAAATATTTATTTCCCTCATTAAGATGCAAATCAATTTATAACATTTTTGACATGCGTTTTGGGGGATGTTGTTGTTGTTATTCTGTCTCTTCCTGTTCAAATAAACCTACCATTAAAATTATAGACTGATCATTTCTTTGTCAGTGGGCAAACGTACAAAATCAGCAGGGGATCAAATACGTTTTTTCCCTCACTAGCTACCATCCATACGAAGGTACTGAATTTAGTTGTTGTATATGGTATTATCCATGATGACAGTGACATTGCCCTTGTCAGCTGAGATGATGACAATAATATTGGTCGCTTTCGCGACCACTATTATTCATAACAAACGTTTTTGGGTTAGATCACGTTATTTATAAATGTGTCGTAACCCTTTACCACCCGACACGGCCAATCAGTAAATAAAGTGTCACGTTGACAAAAGACAAATAGTTGACTACTTTAGCCCACCGGTGTGTTGAAGAGTGAAACCACAACATTTACAATTTTTGAGAACGACGTTTCGCTAGTAATTGCATCCAGCAATTGATGATGCATCCAGCATCATCGGGCAATTCGCCAGCGAAACGTCGTACTCAAAAATTGTCATAAAGGTGTCGTTGTGAAAAATTGGGTGACTTTGCGTGACTTTGTTTTCTCAATGGGGAGTCTGTATGTTTCTCTTTGACTCCTTGTTGTATGTATGTTGAAATTATATCGCACCATACGTAGCCAGTCATGCTCGAACTTCGTGAACATAATTGAGAAACCACTTCAGCCGTGATTTGTTTCGATTACATTCATTATCGTTTATTAAATCAAAAGTGACAATCACTGAAATGCGCACTTCGCAGTGCACAGCTTCAAAAGTCTCACAAGGGGGTGTATGTTTATGGAGTGCGGACGTTGGAGCGGTGGCCCATTTGTTAGCGCATTGCACTATGAACCCAACGACACAAGATCACTTCCCGGCTGTAGCTGAGATTGGCGGTGAGTGATCGTTTTAATCGACCCAGAGCTCTGCGCCTTCCCCGAACAACTGCCGCTACTCACCAATAAATGGTGGTATCGTCACCACGGCACTTGTGCCAGGCTAGGTGCACTACGAGGCAGCCATGTGAAGTGACTGCTGACAGGAGAAGGTCATGGAATAGACCCAGGTGCCATGCGCTGACCGGGCACTTTCCTATACTGAGTGGAGAACAGTTTACTCCTCATGGTGACTGGAGCCAGAACCAGTCCACCAGACATCCCGTATGCCCCAGAGGTCGCAGCAGTACCGGGACAGCTTCTGATACAGGAATGGAAGCCTCCCTATATTCACCAAAACCAGTCCACTAAACCTCCTGTATTCCACAGAGGTCCAAGCGGTATTGGTCCAGCTACCAAAAGAGTAGTGGCAGCCTCTCTTCCACACTGTGGAAGTGAGCAACCTTGGTGTTTTTTTTAGAAACCATTCCTCCACCACCCCACTAACACGTCAAACAACCTCCTATGAAAGATCTTCCGGCAGCTGCAGATTGAAAATACGATTGTAAATACGATTGTAAATTCGAATTCCCGTCATGTATACGCAAATTTACCAAACATTTATTTATTTATAATCGAACTACTCCTGGTGCAATGTCACGTAATGAACTGCCAAGTGGCCAATCAACCGCCCAGCGCCAGTATACTGCGAATCGTCGATTAATGCGCAGTGTTATCACACTATCACGTGTTTTTGCTACAATGCAGTTCTTCCATTCGGGAATATTTTACGCACCATTGTTATAATGCAGAACGTGCCTGCCGTTATAACGCATGCACCATTACAATGCGGAAATGCGTGCACCGTGATAACGTGGTTTTTGAGTGGTCGACGACAATCTAGATAGAGTACACGGAGCCTAATGAACCTCTCCCCTTTGCCTCACCAGGATGTCATCATGTATGTATCTATATTGAGCTTCTTTCACACCATACATAGCCAACTAATCGTAGGTACGGAGGAAGGACAAGAAACGAAACACACAAAGCAGTTCTAAAGAAATGCATTTTCAAAGCGCAGAGCTCTATTGGGCTTCGTAATATCAGAAGGAGAGCGTTCTAGAAGGCCACATAAGCACATCTGAAAGCGTGCAATGTCGTGACCATCTTTTTGTTCGATGGCTAGTCAAAAGCTGCGGCTGCAAGGATGACCGGATATATCATAATAATAATACCCCCAGTTGACCGCAACACCCTTGCTGCCTATGCTGTCACACCGTCTGTATGTGTTGAACATTTTTGGCACCGTACGTAGCCGACCGTGCTATACGGAGGTGCAGAAGGACAACAAGGCTCTTCTGGAGCCGTACGATTAACCTTCAACAATGCGAGCGCAACCTCTTCTCGTGAGGAAGCTTAGAGAGCTGAATGGCGTTCAAAAGAACTATACTCTTAGTTCTTTCGGTAAAGTCACGTAGGTAAAAAATGAAATTAATAAAAAATTTAACAATAAGATCACGACGTTTCGGAGGCAACACAAGTCTCCGTCATCAGGTGGGACCGTCACAGCCAGATTTGCTGCATCAAGTGAGGCAGCGATACAAGATGCAAGCTCTTAAATACAAGTAAAGGGGGGAGGAGAGGAGGAGAGGAGCTTATCAGAATGTGGTAGCCAATGAATGGAACGTATCGGGAGGGGGGGGGCTAAAACAGGGCACGGGTTACTCGTCCTCGACTTGGACGTGTTTGTGCGCAAGTCACTGTGGATGCACATGATAGAAAATAAACGAAAATGCTCATGTTTATACCAGTGTTGGCTGACAATAAAGAGAGTACTGTTAAACGCTGGGGATATTAACACCCGGTGAAGTAAAATAGTGCCCGTCAGATAAGAACTCACAAACAAACAAACACCTCGTGAAAAATCCAACGCAGAAAATCTCCACTGCTACCCACCTGGGCCAAACTGTTTTTGTCTTTTTCCTGTATGTGCCGGTTGCAAAACAGACAGAGAGAGAGACAGAACAAGCTCATTTCTTTAGAACTGCTTTTTGTGTTAAGTTTGTTGTCATTTCACTGCACCTCCTATTAACACAGTTAGCTCTGTATTGTGCCAAATAAGTTTAACACACCAACATACAGTTATTTTTATTATAATATAGTTAGAGGCAGAAATAGTTTTCGCCTAACCAATGGATACTTTTCTACTGCTGCTGCTCCCCTAGCACATTAGCTGAGGTCTCGCCGTACAAGGGACAAGGCCTGAAGCCAAGCATCACGGGAAGTTTAACCGCAAGGCAGTGGTGCGTCAGCTGAGACGCGGATCTCAGACACCTGCATGCCCTCGAACACGCCTCCCACTTGGTCGGTGTTTGAACTCCCGTCCTCGAACGTCGTCGTCATTGTGGCCTTCCAGGGGATGCTTCCAATGTAGCGCCGGCCGGTCACCACGTACGACACTGATTTCCCGGCTTGGACGTCGATTGTTGCCTCCAACGAATCTGTCACCGACTTGGATTCGGTGATGGTCTTCTCCCATTGCCTCGTTAAGGTTGTGGCCACCTTCACCTGGTTCTTAGCGATAAGCGGGATGCCCGCCTCAAAGGTCACCTCCACGCCAACCGCCAGCGATGTTGACACACTCCAAGATGAAGTCATCGTGACCGTCACGTCGATCTTCCGTTTCACGTTGAGCGGAGGACTGCCCGGGGGAGCACGACAATTCTCGGCGATGGTGCGTGTCGTGAGCTCCAGTGGATCGACATTGCTTACCACCTGCGATTCGAAGTCATAAATGAAGTTCACGAGCCGTACCCTGGCCACGGGAGCTCCAGTCTGCACCGACACGAACCGCGGGTTGAGGATGAATGACGGCGTGTCCATTGCGCCGTGCCGCGTCACAGCCTTGAAGGTGTTGGCCGTCTGACCGCTGCCGACGGCTTTCCATATCGTGACGTCCTGCGCCGATCCCGTCTTGGTGTCGTCGTAGACCCACTGCCAGTCACCCCGCACGACGTGTGAGGTGTTCACGCAGCGCACTGTGTCCACCGAGGGGACGCGGCCGTAGCTCCCTTCGGCGACGAAGCCGAGAGCGTGGTACGATGGTGGGCAGATCGGCTTCCAGATGGAGACATCCCGGTCCGCTCCTGAGCCCCGGTCAGTCCAGATGCGCTCAAAGGACAGCGGCTTTCTCAGTGTTCCGGTGATGGTCTCTCTCAAGAGGATACCTTTAGGCCGGTTATAGTTGGGCATGGCAATGTCGCCCAGAGAGCAGCAGCCTTCCGCCTTCCAGATTGAAACGTCGTACTTCCCTCCGCTGCCTGCGATGACAGTCATGAACCCGATGAGAATTGTCAGCGTGTGAGTTTCTGTGTTGTGAGTCTATGGGTCTTTTTGTATCTATCTGTGTGTCTATGAATTTCTCTGTATGTCTATGGGTATCCGTGTTTCTTTCTGTGTGGCTCTGGGCATCTCTCTGTGTGTCTGTCTCTCTGTGTGTATCTGTGTGTCTATAGGGAGGCGGGGGGTGTGCCCCTACCATAGCCATATCATGCCAGATCTCCATCACGCATTCATTGTTGTACAGGATGTCTCCCTGTATCTATCTCTATGTGTATATCTCCATGTGTCTCTCTGTGTGTGTCTATGGGTGTCTATCTCTGTGTGTGTTTATCTCTATGTGTCTATCCCTGCGTATCTCTATGTGTGTCTATTGGTGTCTATCTGCATATGTCTATCTGTGTGTACACCCCGTACCCCTATCGTTCCAGATGTCTGTCACACTCTCAGTGTTGTACAGGATCTATCCCTGTGTGTCTATCCATGCGTGTCTATTCATGTGTGTCTGTATATGTCTATGGGTGTCTATCTATGTGTTTGCATCTTATGGTGTCAATCTGTGTGTGTGTCTATCTCTATGTGTCTAACCATGATTGTCTCTGTGTGTGTCTATGGGTGCCTATCTCTGTGTGCCTATCCCTGCGTGTGTGTGTGTGTGTCTGTGGGTGTCTATCCATGCGTGTCTATCTCTATGTGTCTATCCCTCTGTGTCTGTCTCTGTGTGTTTGTTTGTGTGTCTATAGGTGTCTATCTGTGTGTGTCTATTTTTGCGTGTCGAACTCTGTGTTTCTGTGTGTGTCAATGGGTGTCCATCTGTATATGTCTATCTATCTATATATACACCCCGTACCTTTATCATTCCATATCTCCGTCATTTTGTCCGTGTTGTACAGGACGAGCGCCACCTCTGACGAGGTCGGCAGGAACGCGGAGAGAATGGCTTTGTTCGCGTCCAGCACGGCGGGCACGATGCGCAGGTCGCTGTGGCTCGCGTGGGACATGAAGGTCCCCGCCGTGATGCCTGCCGCCGTGCAGCCAAGCACCGAGGAAACAGGGGGCAGTGATTGGACGAACAACAAAAAGTGAAATCAGTTTTTTGACAATTACTAAACGAATTATAGTGGCTCTGTGAAGTGGCTGATCGCGTGGAATTTACAGAATCAGCCAAACACTCTAAATGCTTGATGTTGATTTCACATGTGCAGGGAGAAAAACCGGAGGAACAGGCATCATCAGGGTCAGGGATTGAACCCACGCCCTCCAGCATCCCAGACAGGGCAGTTAACTAACAGGAGGGAGCCAGTGACTCTCTCCGCCCCAGGCCTCACCAGTCAACATCGGATCGTTCTCCACACTCCAGAAGCTGACGTCGTGCTTCGCCCCCGAGCCTCTGTCGTTCCACACGAAGCTGAGGCGTCCCTGGGTCACGTGGCTCGAATTGACGCACCTTGGGGAGAGCGGAAGGGGAGGGAATGCCACGGCAGCCAGGTTAAGTTATCTCCGTTGTCTGGTAGGCAAGAGGTTGTGGCTTTGTTCCCAGACCCTGCTGATGTATGCATGCGCGTGCATTCAACTTCTTTCACACCATACGTAGCCAACCGTCCTAATTGGAAGTGCGGAAAGGACAACAAACTAAACATAAAAATCGGTTCTAAAGAAGTGAGCTTCAATTTAGATGTAAAATCAGAATCATTGAAATAAATATAAATTTTACTAGAGCAATATGATGATCTATAAAGCTCCCTTTCACGGATGTCTGATGGTCACAAAAGTCCAATATTCGCAGATGCCCAGTAGTGCATAGGTCCAGTGGCTTCCTAATATCGGAAGGAAGTGCATTCCAGACGATATCAAAAGTGCATCTGCAGGTGTGCGATGCATTAACCATTTTTGTTCGATGGTTAGCCAGAAGCCTCTGCTGCGAGAATGACCAGATGTATAAAACCCCCAAGTCAATCCCAACACCTTGGCTGGCCGTGCTGTCACCACATCTTTACCCCACCCATCCTCCACAATGCTGCAACCCTCTGGGAAATCGTGTGAATCGAAGAAAACAATAGCCTTTCCATTCACCAGGACCTCAATAACTTCCCTCATCGTCGTTTGAAGTCACGCACGCCCCTTTTGGGACCTGGAGTTTAACCTGAAACAATGTGAGCGAGTTCAAGCCTCAATGAAGCTTGTAGAGCTAAACGGAGTTCAAATGTACTCGCAAAGAAACACCTTGTGAAAGACCTAACACATACATCCCCTGGGTTTGATCTTCTACGAAGCTCATGGTCCACCCTAAACTACATTCACTGCACAGCAATTTATAGTAAATGTGGATTCCTGATGCACAAATGGAAAATTAAAAACTCTCACGGAGATGAAAGTGTTCATCCAGAACAGACCATACAGCATGGAAAGACACAATTCTCTGATCCACAAATGCGAAGTAGATATCACCGTGATGATGATCCACTCCTCCGCTACTCCTGAGGCTGTTGTTTGGGCTTGACCACCTGAATGTCAGATTCTAGTTGTTACTCTGCATTAACATCAGTAGCACAAACAAAGAAGAAGAGTCAAAATATCTATATACCTTGCATTGTTGAAGAAGAATACTCAATAAATCGATATAATCATCATAATAACATACGTACCAACACTTACTTCACCTGGAATGGTACTTTCTACAAACAAAATGAAGGTACCCCCATGGGATCTCCCTTATCACCAGTGATAGCGAATTTTTCATGGAGATATTTGAAACAGATGCCATCCAGACATCCACCCTACGTCCTTCTTTGCGGAAGAGATATGTAGATGACACTTTCGTCATTTTGCCACATGGCCTGCCAGCTTTGAACCAATTTCTCAACAACATCAATTCCATACACCCATCCATCAAATTTACCACGGAAGTGGAGAAAGACGGTAAGCTACCATTCCTGAGTGTTTTGTTTGAGAAGAGACCTGACGGCTCGTTGGGACACTGTCTACAGGAAATCCACCCACACAAATTCCTATCTGAAACCTGATTCCCACCACCATCCGGCACAGAAGAAATCCCTTATCAAAACACTACACCATAGGGCCCCCTGAATTTCCGACCAACACCACCTAGCCAGTGAACTGGAACACTTACACCAGGCCCTCAAGATGAATGGGTACTCGGACCGCATTATTCGCAAAGCTATTTCTCCAACCATGGAGAAACAACCCCATGAGAAGCCAATCAAAACCATCATGTTACCATACATAGCAGGTGTTACCAAAAAATATTTCCAAAATTTTAAACATACACAAGATCCAGGTCCGATTCAATACAATACACAACATTTGTGATATAATCCCATCTGTGAAAGATGTCATTTCTGACATGCAATATCCGCGACGGTGGTGGGTTTTCTACCAATCAAAGGGCTGCCAAGTAAAAATGTGCATGATAATGTAAGATCGTTGAGCAGCCTCCAGGGTCAGCGCCCTGAGGTGGCTATGTTAATGTGAGAGATTAGCATGTTAATGGGAGATCGCAGAGCAGCAACCTCGAGCTTGGCAAGCGAGGTGGCTGTGTTAGTGTGAGAAATTTAACCTGCTGATATTTGGGCTAAGCCCATTTAAAACATTTATAAACAGTTTACATTTAGAAGCTAACCCCCTCTTCCTGATGACGAACGCTTGTGTTGCGATCGAAACGTTGTAGTTTTTTGTTATTTTCTCTGAACCTATCTACGTGACTTTACTGAAAGACCCCAAAAATATGAATTCCTGAAGTCACGAAAGCTTTAAATCAAGACACAACATACACACAGCACACATACAATGCACACACAAAACACACAGCCTACACACACAATATACACACAACACACACAATATACACACACAACACACATACACACGAATAGACAGATTGGCGAGCTGCGCCCCTCACCTGTATGCGTTGAGGCTGGGTGTCTGGCTGTAGCTCGCCACGGCCACGTGGCCCAGGCACGTGAAGCCGTTCGACGGGTTGAGCTGGTACACTGTGACATCACGGTCAGCTCCACTGCCTCTGTCATTCCACACCTCACTGCAGGGTAACGTGGGAGGTGAGGAGGAGGAGGATAGCCAACGGCATAGACGATGACTAGATGGTCAGTCAATCGATCGATCAATCGTCAGTCAATCGATAAACCTTGATCAATGAAATCACTTCCACACAGCGTTACACAGCCGATGAAAAGTTAATGCAGTTCGACTGATTCAGAGTGAGAACTCTGCTGTCAAACCGGAGCCTGTAAAAACCACACTGGTCAGGTACGGGAACCTCTCCACTCTCTCCACAACTGCCTCGCCAAAGGGGAGTTTGGCAGGTGGAGTGTTTGGTTGCACAAATTACCCAAGCAGGTGCTTAGTTTTGAAGGGGCTGCTAATATGGCTACAACTGTTAATAGCACGCTTCAGGTCAAGCAGCAGTGCTTCAAACGCCTTCTCTGAGTGAGCAGTAATCACTAGATCAGTAGCATACATAACATGGTTGACCAATAGGGAGCCATCCCTCAACCACACCGGGACATCGAGCAGCCTCCCATTGTATCTGTACCAGATGGACAATCCTCTGGTAAATCCGTGGAGGCTTCTAAAAAAAGTGGTTTTAAATAATGTAGGAGCTAAATAACATACCAGTTGCACCCCGACATGAACAGGGAATGGCTTTGACTCCCGGCCGCATAGTTTTACCATAATGGTGATTTGTGAGGCGCTGCAAATCTTTTTTTAAAGGAATAAAATCGTGATTGTGATCAAGACTCCATCTCCTCAGCAACCCACGACCAACACTCATCCTTGCATTGCCACATAGCTCCCCGAACCTTCGAGTGAAGCTCGCGGTAAGCCTCTTCATTCTCTGATGTCTAGCAGCCTACTGCCATTATTATTGAGCTGATCTCACCCATGGCTTCCACTCACTTCAGCCCAGGTGCCAACATCATAACCCATTCGGGTATTAAAGTCACCCAACAGGATGACTATCCCGAGGGGCCACTTTAGCTAGCACCTGTGACAGGAGGTCAAAACAGGGATCTCACTCATCGGCCTTGCCTGCATCCCTCCACTGATGTTCATCTTCGTTGGAGGCATAAGCAACCACCACCAACATTTCTCACCTCCGGATGATCGGGAGGTGAGCCCACAGTAGTCTGGGGCTTACAGGTTCCTACACTTCACCCCCATGCCCTGTTAATTATTTTGTCAAGAGAAAGCGCCACTCTCTGTTATTTGGCAGTCTCCTGCCAGAGTGAGTCCAACGAGTCTCCTGAATACCGCAGATATCCAGGGGGTACCGGTCTAACTCCCGAGAGAGGAGTGGCAGACTCTCATCTGCAGTGTGCTTTCGAACATTCCATGTGGCCACTCGCGGCAGCTTTTTGCCATTTCTGACGGAACCCCGAGGGTACAAATTCAGTCTCCTAGTTTTGCCACTGTGATGGCTACGAGCGACACGAGGGGAAGAGTCGATTGGAATTGACCTTACCCCAATGGCATTGCTCACCACAGCGTTACCGTCTGCCAACCAAAAGATATACACAAACAGACTCATACAGACTCACGTGACGCTGATGGGAGCTCGTACCAGCGAGTTTCCAAAGTCCCTCACTAGAATACTCGCGGACTTCGGTTGCTCGTGCAGAGCGACCACGACATCTCCCAGCGGATAGAAGCCTGGGATAGCAAGAGACCCACGGAGTCCCACAGACATTATGATTATTATTACCAAGGCATGTTCATCAAGGGACCTTTTTGACAGTATCAAAGTATGAAAAATAAGAAGAGGTTTTACCCTTTCTGGCAATAAAACTGGAGGTGTTAAGATGTTCAAAAACACAAAATGAATGCGAGTACGAAGGGTACATTACTATTATTATCAAGGCGCGTTTGTTCGCATTGTGCTTGTTGTTGTCATCGAGGGATGTTTGTAGTCTTACCGGACTCCAGGCTGGATGGTCTCCAAATCGACACGTCCACTGCAGAACCACTTCCCCTGTCGTTCCAAATCGCTTCATATTCCGTGCTGAACTTGTACACCACCTTATTCACTGTGAGAATGGGAGGCCAAGAAACTATGGGTCTCTGCTTGTGTTTATGGGTTTCTCCGTGGTGAGTCGATTGGTCTCTGTGTGGTGAGTCTACGCACATCTGCGTAGATAAATGTGTCTTTACATGGTGAGTCTATGGGTCTCTGTGTGGTGATTCTATGGATTTATGTGGTGAGTCAATGGGTCTCTTTGTAGGTTTATGAGTCCCTGTGTAAGAAGTCTGTGGATCTTTGTGATTAGTCTAAGGGTGTCAATGTGGTAGGTCTATGAGTCTTGGTGTGGAGAGCCTATGGGCCACTGTGTGGTGAGCCTTTGTATGTGAGTCTATGGGTCCAAGCATGGTGGGTCTATGAGTCTCTGTGTCGGTCTATGAGTAATTGTGTGATGAGTCTATGGGTCTGTGTGTGGCGAGTCTATGAATATTGGTGTGGAGAGTCTACGGGTTTTTGTGTTGTGAGATTATAGGTCTCTGTGATGTGAGTCTATGGGGCTCTGTGGGGTGAGTCCAGGGTTCTTTGTGTGGTGAGTCTATTGGTCTCTGTGATGTGAGTCTTTGGAGCTCTGTGTGGTGAGTTCAGGGTTCTTTGTGTGGTGAGTCTATGGGTCTCTGTGTAGTGAGTCTATGGGCATCTGAGGGTGAGTGTCTGGTTTCTATGTGAGTTTATGGGTATTTGTTTGGTGAGTCTATGGGTCTATGTGTGGTTCTATTGGTGATTGTGTGATGAGTCTATGGGTCTCTGTAGGGTCAGTTTATGCGTGGTAGTCTATGGGTATCTGTGTGGTGAGTCTATATGTGTCTCTGGATGAAGAGGAAAGACCCCAGCTGGGCCCCAAAGTGAGAGGGCCAGGAGGTATGCAGTCAACAATGCTTGACTCAGGGAGGAGGACGCCCCTGCCATGCATAGTCCCATGGGATGTTGGCTATCAACAACAAGGCAACTCCTATGACTAATTGGGAATGGGACGCAAGTGTAGGATTGATCACCCTGTCGCTGGCCGCCTTTGGGGAGGGTGTATAGTATGAAAGGCCGAAACACCCTAGGAACCAAAGGTTCACTACTGACGATGCGCTCCCCAAATTTCACCAGGCTCACTGTTCATGAACTCTTGGAAGTGCTTGCACAAAGGATAGTAACATCTCATCCTGTGTTCTTTGGAATCTGCGTGGTGTGTTTATGGGTCTATGAGAGGTGAGTCAATGGGTCTCTGCACAGGTCTATGAGTCTCTAATGGCTGAGTCTGTGGGTCTTTGTGAAGAGTCTAAGGGTCTATATGTGGTAAGTCTAGAAGTATTGGTGTGGAGAGTCTACGGGTTTCTGTGCTGTGAGATGATAGGTATCTTTGATATGAGTCTATGGGGCTCTGTGTGGTAAGTCCAGGGTTCTTTGTGTGGTGAGTCTATGGGTCTCTGTGATGTAAGTCTATGGAGCTCTGTGTGGTGAGTTCAGGGTTTTTTGTGTGGCGAGTCTATGGGTCTCTGTGTAGTGAGTCTATGGTCATCTGAGGGTGAGTGTCTGGTTTCTATGTGAGTTCATGGGTATTTGCTTGATGAGTTTATGTGTGGTTCTATTGGTCATTGTGTGACGAGTCTATGGGTCTCTGTATGGTGAGTTTATGCGTGGTAGTCTATGGGTCTCTGTGTGGTGAGTCTATTGGTCTCTGTGTGAGTCTATGGGTCTCTTCTGGTTATTCTATGGGGTTATGTGTGGTAAGTTTACACTTGTGAGTCTATGAGTCTCTATATGGAAAGTCGTCGGGTCTTTGTGTGGTGAGAATATGGGTATCTGTGTGGTGAGCCAATGGTTTTGTGTGTTGAGTCTATGGGTTTCTTTGAGACGAGTCTTTGGGTTTCTGCGTGATGACATTATGGGTTTCTGTGTGGTGAGTATATGGGTCTCTGTGTGAGTCTATGGGTCTCTATGTGCTGAGTCTTTTCGTCTATGTGTGAATCTATAAGTCTTTTCTGGTTATTTGATGAGTCTCTGTGTGGTGAGTCTATGCGTCTTTGTGTGGTGAGTAAAGAGGTTTCTGTATGGTGAGTCTATATGTCTCTGTGTGGTTAGTTCATGTATGTAAGTCTATGAGTCTCTTTGTGCTTAATCTGTGGATCTCTGTGTGAGTCTATGTGTTTCTTGTAGTGATTATATGGATGTCTGTGTGGTGAGTCTATGGGTCTCTGTGTGGTGAGTCTCTGGGTCTCTGGGTATGTCTGTGGGTCTCTAAGTGGTGTATCTATGGGTCTGTTTGTGTTGATTCTATGGATCAATGTGTGGTGAGTCAATGGGCCTCTTTGTATGTCTATGGTTCTCTGCGTGGTGAGTCTGTGGGTCTTTGTGATGAGTATAAGGGGGGCTTATGTGGTAAGTAAATGGATATTGGTGTGGAGAGTCTATGGGTCTCTGTGTAGTGAGCCGATATATCTCTGTGTGCTGAGTCTATTGGTCTATGTGTGGTGATTCTCTGAGTGTATGTGGTCGATCTATCTGTGTCTGTGTGGTGAGTCTATGGATCTCTGTGTGATAAGTCTATAGTCTATGTGCAGTGAGTCTTTGGGTATCTGTGTGGTGAGTCGATGGCCCTCTGTGTAGTAAGTTTATATGTGTGAGTCTATGGGTATATGTGTGAGGAGTCTATGGGTGTGTGTGTGGTAAGTATATAAGTCTCTGTGTAGTGAGTTTATGGGGTATCTGTGTGGTTAGTCTATGGGTTTCTGTTAAGTGAGTCAATGGGTCTCTGTGTGGTTAGTCTATGGGGCTTGGTGAGATACGTTAATGTGGGTGAGTCTGTATGTATTTGTGTGGTGAGTCTATGGGTGTCTGTGCGGTGAGTCATTGGTTCGCTTGGTTTGAGTGGATGGGTCTTCGTGTTGCGAGTCTATGAGTCCCTTTGAAGTGAGTCTATGGGTCTATGTTTGGTGAGTCTGTGTTGTGAGGCTAAATGTCTGTGTGGTGAGTGTGTGTGGTGAGTCAATGGGGTTATATTGGTGAGTTTCCTGAGTACAGGGGTCTCAGTTTAGCGATTCTATGGGCCACTGTGTAATGAGTGTATGGGTCTCTGTGTTGTGTGTCTATGGGTCTGTGTGTGGTTAATCTATGGATCTCTACGTTGTGAGTCTTTGGATCTCTGTGTGGTATGTCTAGGGATCTTTCTGTGATGAGTCTATGGGTCTCTGTGTGGTGATTCTATGGGTCTCTAAATAGTGAGTCTATGAGTATGTGTGTGAGTCTATGGTTATATGTCTGCTCAGTCTATGGATCTCTGTGTTTTGAGTCTTTGAGTTTCTATGTGGCCGGTCTATGGGTATCTGTGTCGTAAGTCTATGAGACTCTGTGTGGTGTGTCTGTACGGTGAGTCAATGGTTCACTTTGTTTTGAGTCGATGAGCCTATGCGTATCTTTGTGGTGAGTCTAAGGTGCTGTTTGTGCTGAGTCTATGAACTTACCAATCGTAGCAAAAACGCAGGGCCAGGAAGTGACCAACAGGAGGCCACAAAGTGTAACGTGATGCATCTTGATATTCACCTGGGGACACAGAGCTCACTCACTTATTCAACAACCAACTCAACCACCCCCTCATCCACTCACTCACTTACTTGCCCACCCAATCACAAACCCACTCACCCACTCACTCGCCCAACTACCCACCCAACAACCAGTGCCAGATTAAGCTAATGTGTGGCCTGGAGCATATGTTATAAAGGGTCCCTAAATAAAATAAAAACACATGAATACTAAAATACAATTTTTTACTTGCATAGTAAAGTAATTGTGTTTTGTCATTTTCTATAAAGCCAGATAATGCGACAAATTGCTAACCCTAAACATCCAGTCGTTCATAAAAGTTGAAGGCAGTTCAGTACAATAGTAATAGAGCAAGTGCAGAATCACTCAACCGGAATTGATAACTTAAAAGTATTTAGCACGGGGCCCTTGAAAGTGCGGGGCCCATAGCATATGCTACTTTTGCTACTAGGATAATCCGGCACTGTCAAAAACTCAACCACTTACCCACTCAATTACCCAACCAGTCACCCATTAACTCACCAACCATCGCTCCCACCTACTCACCCATGCACTCACCCATTGACCCAATCACTCATTCACTCAATAACCCCCTCAACGACTCAATCACCCACGCACTCATTGACCTACTCACGCACCAACTCACGCACTCACTCCCCAATGCATTCACTCACCCAATAACCCACGCACTCCATAACTGACCCAGCCAACCACCCACTTACTCATCCACCCGCTCACTTACCGACTCACTCATCTACTCACTCACCCACTAACTCACTAACCCACAAACTCACTTACCCACTAACTCACTTACCCACTAACTCACTAACCCACTCACTCACCCACCCACTCACCCAACGTACGCACCCACACACTCAACAACTCACCCACCCACTCCCCCTACCCAACCACCCACTCACCAACTTACCGACCCACTTACCCACCTGCTCAACCAACTACTCACCGAACCACAAACTCACTCACCCACCCACGTACTCACGCAACTACTCCCTCACTCACTCCCCCACCCGCTCACACACCCGCTCACCCACCCACTCACTCGCCCACGCACTCACCAAAGCATTCACTAACCCACTCATCGAGCCACCCACCCACTCACCCACTTACCCACCCCATTTACCCACCTACTCACCCAACCACACACTAACTCACTTACATACGCATTCACCCCCTCAATCGCCCACCCACCCACTCGCCCGCCCACCCACTCGCTCGCCCACCCACTCGCTCGCTCAACCACTCTCCCAACAACTCACCACTCACCCACGCACTTACCCACCCACTCACTGGTCCACCATTTCCCCCACTCAACCACCCACTCAACCACCCACTCAACCATCCACTCAACCACTCCCCCACCCAACCACTCCCCCACCCAACCAACCACTAACATACCAACTGACCGACCCACTCACTCACCCATCCACCCTCTTACCCAACAACTCACTACCCCCACTGACCCACCCTCGTCCGACCCACCCGCTTACCTACCCACTCACCGACGCACTCGACCACCAACTCAGCTACTCACTCGCCCACGCACTCACCCACTCATTCACCCACTCACCCACTCACCCACTCGCCAACGCACTCACCAAACCATTAACTCACTAACTCATCGAGCCACCCACACAAAGATCCCCCGTATAGCCTTAACAAACTGTCGTAGAAAGTGCTGTTAGCGAGCACCCACACACACACTCACCTACCCACCCACTCCCCCTAACCAACCACCCACTCACTCACCCACCCACCCACTTATCCATTCACCAACCCACTCACCCACCCTCTTACCCACCGACTCTCTCACCCACTGACCCACCCTCTCAATCACACACTTACCCATTCACTCACTCACCCACCCACTTACCGACCCACTCACCCACCGATCTACTTACCCACTCATCCACCCACCAACTCACTCATTCAGCCACCAATGCAAGCACTCACCCACTCACTTGCCAACGCACTCATCCCTTCACTCATCCAGCCACCCACCCAGCCAGCCACTCACACACTTACACACCCACTCACCCACCCACCTACTTACCCATTCACCGACCCACTCACCCACCTACCAACTCACTTGTCCAATCACCTACCCACCCACTCAGCCACCCACGGTTTCACCCAATCACCAACTCACTAAATCACCCACTCACCTACCCACCTACTCACCCATGAATCAACACTGCCCATAGACTCATCAATGCCCATGGACTCAACACTGTCTATAGACTCAACACTGCACCATCGACTCCAGCACTGCACCATTACCTCAGCACTGCCCCATAGACTGAGCACTGCTATAATGAGATCACATATAGTTAGATAGAACGATACATAGAATGACACGGCCATTACAAACCCTACACGACCATTATGAACCCACCGAGAGAGAGGGAGAGAGAGCGAGACACTGAAACACGGAGCGAGAGACCCAAATGTAGGACTCGAATCCAGGTTCTCACAGTTCACTGTGTGGCAGTCACTGTGGATCCAGACGTCTGGTGATGATGATGAATGGAGAATGCGACGATCTATCTTTATAGCCCCAACCATCTCTGTCTCCCCCACCCCCACCCCCGCCTCTCTCTCTCTCTGATTGGTGTCGATAAAAAGAGATCAAGATGACCCCGAGGTCAACAAACATCTCCGATGAATGAATAATTGACAGACCTTGGCTCTTGGACGTCTGAGCAGATAAACCCAATAAACCCGAGAGCCAAAAACTCAGCATATTGCCCACCCAGGTAGCCTCTAGCATGATGTTTGTGCAAGTGTTGAGGACCGAGAAGTATGGGTATCTAAGTGAGTGTATGGGTCTCTTTGTGGTGAGTCTATGAACTCACCACACCAATACAGGGGACGAGGAAATGACCAAAAGGTGCAGGCTACAAAGTGTCACATAATGCATCTTGATAATCACCTGGGCACACAGATATCACACACCCACTCGCCCACCGACTCACCCACCGACTCACCCACCCACTCGCCCACCTTCTCACTCGCCCACTCACCCACTCACTTACATACTGATTCACCCCCTCCATCGCTCGCCCACTCACTTACCCCAATACTCGCCAACTCACTTACCGATTCACTTTCTGACTCACCTACTTACCCGTGACTCAACACTGCCCATAAACTCAGAACTGCCCAACGACTCAACACTGACCATCGACTAAGCAATGAACCATAGACCCAGCACTACCATTATGAAACCACATATAGAAGAGACATACGGTGACACGGCCATTATGAATCCGACGCGGCCATTGTGACCCACCGAGAAAGAGGGGCAGAGAGAGAGAGCGAGACACTGAAACACGGAGAGAGAGAGAACAAGACGTAGGACTCAAACTCAGGCTCTCACAGTTCACTCTGTGAGTCACTATGGGCCCAAACTTCTGGCGATGATGATGGTGGTGATGGATGGACCATCATTGTCTCCCCCACCCCTCTCTTTGTTTATTTGTGTGGACAGACAGCTCAGTAGATCAAGATGACCCCGAGGTCAATAAAGCTCTGATATGAATTGACGTCCGTGATTGATTGACAGAGCTCAGTTTTTGGACGTCTGAGCAAATAACCCGACCGAACCCGAGAGCCAAACACGCAGTGTATTCCCACCCAGGTAGCATTTAGCAGGCTGTCAGCACAATTACTGAGTAGTATGGGTGTTTATGTGAGTATATGGGTCTCTTTGTCATGAGTCTATGGGTGTCTGTGTGAGGTGATCGAAGAGTGGCCTCCACGAGGCAAGAGCGTCAATGCAAGAGAACCACCGCAACAGTGGCCATGCCAGTGAGACACACAGCCCATTACACAGTAAGAACCAACGATACATCGAGGCTAAGGGAGCAGAAGTGGCCATGTTAGTGAGACCCCCAGCGCGTTAATGCAAAGGCATCCAGCAGGGCAATGCAACTGAGAGAGTCGAAGATTACAACCAAACGGCACGAAGGATGGAAGCATCACAGCGAGTTATGACTATACATGGTTAATAACGTCCTGCGATTGTGAGAGATGGACTGTAGGGCATGTGAGCATGAGAGTGCACTCCAAAGGGCATGTGAGCATGAGAGTACAATGCAAAGGACATGTGAGCATGAGAGATCTAAGACAGAGGCATAGAGAGAGAGAGTTGGAAATAACAGCTTACATACGCAGGTAGGATGGAAACATCACAGACAGTTAAGACTTTACCTGGTTAATAACGTCCTTCCAATGATTGCTCAGTTTGTACCCATCCTCTTGGTTGAAGTTGTGTCTGTGTTTATATATCTGGATGGCTTCATGAACAAATCTCTGAAGGTAGCCGGTAGGTTTGCAGAGTACCTCTGCCTTGGAAAAGTAAATTTCGTGTGAGCCCACAGCGTTAAAACAATGATCAGCAACGGCAGAGGTATTGGTCCTACCGTGTTTCAGATCTGCCCTGTGTTCACGAACGCGGTCCGAGACATGTTGCTTCATTTCCCCAATGTAACTGCTGCCGCAACCACAACTCAGTTTGTAGACACCAGGGTATTGCACGTCAGGAATCACATCCTTTACAGATGGGATTATATCACGAATTTTGTGTACTGTGTTGAAACGAATCTGGATCTTGTGTTTGTTGAAGATTTTGGAAATCCTTTTTGTAACCCCTGCTATGTACGGTAAAGTGATGGTTTTGGTTGGATCCTCAGAAGGTTGTCTCCGCATGGCTGGGAGACAGCTTTGCGGAATGTAAGGTCCAAGTATCCGTTCATCCTGAGGGCTTGGTGTACGTGCTCCAGCTCACTGGCTAGGTGATGCTGGTCGGAGATACAACGGGCCCTATGGTGTAGTGTTTTGATAAGAAAATTCTTCTGGGCTAGATGGTGGTGGGAGTCAGGCTTTAGATAGGCACCCGTGTGGGTGGCATTCCTGTAGACGAGCAAATCAGGTCTCTTCTCGATCAAAACATCCAGGAATGGTAGCTTTCCATCCTTTTCCACTTCCATGGTGAATTTGATAGACGGGTGTATGGAATTGATGTGGTTGAGAAATTGGTTTAGTGCTGGCAGGCCATGTGGCCAGATGACGAACGTGTCATCTACTTATCTCTTCCACAAGGAAGGACGTAGGGTGGATGTCTGGATGGCATCTGTCTCAATTTTCTCCATGAAAACATTCGCTACCACTGGCGATAAGGGAGAACCCATTGGGGTACCCTCATTTTGTTTGTAGAATGTACCATTCCAGGTGAAGTATGTGTTGGTAAGGCAGTGCCTTACCAAAGTTGGTACATCTGGATTCAGTCTTAGTTGGACCAAGTCTTTAATGATTGCAATGGTGTCCGGTACCGGTACACTGGTGAACAGAGCGACTACATAGAAACTGACAAGCAAATCATCTGAAGACAGTGAGATGTCCTTGATTAGAGAAACCAAGTGAGCTGAGTTAAGTACAGCTGAGAGGTAGACTTGCCCGTGAAAGGAAGCAGGGTCTCATACAGAAATCGGTCCAGTTTGTAGGTGGGTGAGTTAATGGTGGAGACGATAGGACGGAGCGGGGTACCTACTTTGTGGATTTTTGGAAGGCCATAAAATCTGGGTGGTCTAGCAGCCGAAGATTTTAGGGAGCTCTGGTTGGTCTGATTGATTATAGAGGTCTATTAAGTGATGATATTGTTGGTTTTAGTAGCTAGGCAGTTGGTGGGATCTCTGTTGATTTTGGTAAAGCTGCCATCATTAAGAAGGTCCTGAACTTTGTTGTTGTAAGTGGATTTATCCATGATGACAGTGCATTGCCCTTGTCTGCTGAGAGGATGGTTATGGTTTCCGGTTAGGGTTATAGTTAGGGATTAGTGTTAGGATTTAAGGTAAGGGGTTAGGGTTAAGGGTTAGGGTGGTTGGTTGTGTGTTAGGGGTTAGGGGCTAGGGTTTAGGTTTACGTTAGGGTCTATGGGTTAGGAGTTAAAGGATAGGGTTATGGGTTAGGGTTCGGAGTTAGGGTTAGTGGTTAGAGTTAGGGGTTAGGATTAGGGTTCATTGGTTAGGGGTTTGGGTTTGAGTTTAGGGTTATGGTTAGGGTTAGGGGCTAGAGGTTAGGGTCTAGGGGTTGGGGGTTAGTGGTAGGGTTTAGGGTGAGGATTATGGTTTAAGGTTTAGGTTTAGGGTTTAGGGTTATGGTTATACTTTTTAAGGGTTAGGGTTTATGGGTTTGGATTAGAGTTTAGGGTTAGTGTTTGGGGTTAGGGGTCAGTGTTCACGGTTCACATTTCAGGTTTAGAGTTTAGGGATAAGGTTTAGGGATTAGTGTTAGGTTATGGTTGGGGGTAGGTTTAGATTTTTGGTTAGGGGTCAGCGTTAGCGTTAGGGGTAAGGGTTTAGCGTTAAGAGTTAGGGCTACGGGTTAGGGTAACGGTTAGCATATTGTTGAGGGTTTGGAATAGGGTTTAGGTTTAGGTGATAGGGGAAATGGTTACGGTTTAGGGGTTAGGGGTTAGGGTTTTGGGGTTAGGGTAAGAGATTCGCACACTCACAAACTCACGCAGAGACTCGCACTCACAGACTTGCACGCAGAGACTCGCACACTCACAGACTCACACACAGAGACCCTCACACTCATAAACTCACGCAGAGACTCGCACACGCAGAGACTCGCACGCAGAGACTCGCACGGAGAGACTCGCACACTCACAGACTAGCACACTCACAGACTCTCACGTGCGTGTGAGTGAGCAGGTGATTGAGCTGCCGCTGCTCAACCCGGAGCTGTTCCAGCGAGTGGGAATCACCCCCCCCCCCCAAGGGGTGTCTCCTCTATGGGCCCCCGGTAACCAACACCCTGCCCCCCCCCACTCCGACCCCCACGTACAACACACACACATGTGAGTGTGTGTGTACGTGTGTATATTTGGGGATCACCCCCCGCCCCCCACCAAGGGGTGCCTCCTGTAGGCCCCCCCCGGTAACCAACACGCTAGGCCCCCCCCACCACCACCACCCACCCCCACCTACAAACAACGCACACAAGCACACGTGTGTGTGTGTGAGTATTTGTGTGCGCGTGTGTATATAATGAACAGATTTGCAGATTTGCTGAGCATATCTGTGAGGCCCTGGGGGAGGGGAAATCCCGCAGCCAGGAAAACATCATGGCACAAAGTGGGGATGACCCTGCTGAGGCTGCGGTGCCTCAAATATTGGAAGAAGTCACCCCCTGTGAGTGGCTGGCTGAGGTGCCATCTGTTGAGGAAGTACTGAAGGCGATCCGGAGTCTGAGACCAGGAAAGGTACCGGGCAGAGATGATCTCCCAAGCGAAATGCTGAGGGAGGGTGGCGTTTGTGCACAGACTGCCCTATATGACATCATAACAACAGTCTGGACCACTGGACGGGTTCCGCAGGATTGGAAGGATGCCCTGGTGGCCCCCCTCTTTAGGAAGGGGGACCGAACAGACTGTAATAACTACAGGGGCATTTCACTACTCAGTGTGCCGGGAAAGGTCCTGGCAAGGATCATTCAACATCGCCTTGTTAGGCACGCTGAGGAGAGGCTT